TCATCTAGACGTGATACGTTTAAGACGATTGGACTTATCTAGACGTGTCACGTTCAAGACTATTGGGTTTATCTAGACGTGTCACGTTCTCGAAAGACGATTGGACATATCTAGACGTGTTTCGTTTAAGACTATTGGACTTATATGGATACGTAACAGTTGTTCGATTGATGTAAGTAATAGAAAATGAAACAACTCCGAGTGCATCAGAGCCCTCTAGATGTCAGTACTCTGTGTTGGTGCATCCCAGATTACACAACATTCCCTTTCCACAGATGTTACTCAAGTCATATCTTCCAACGTAACCTCTGTTCTAATACGGCCATATTTCCCGGTCTCGTAAAATCTCCTGGCGGCAAAAAATCGCAACACGAATTATATCTCCCACGTGTTACATGGACTTAGATCTAATATGGCGGCCGCCAAGGGGTTGGTTGATCAATATGCGAAGGATAAATTCGGTATTTCATGTTTAACTGAAAGTCAGAAACTTGCAATAGAAAGTGGGGCCACAAATATCCCTCCTCTGTCAATGACTCATGTTGGTGTGACACACAAGACATTTGATCGCTAGCTTGTCCGTTGTCAACGAGGGCGATGGAGACGCCATTGATCCGCCATTACATGACTGAGTTCTGTCTAGAAGAAACATTTGCGCATTTCGCAGGGGAAGAGGTTCTAGTTTTCCCAAAGCATACAGAAATTTCCGAGGCTTTGCGAATGATCAATTTTGAAACAACGTCGCTGATTGCACAACTAAATCTGATTGCAACCAATCACGAATCCTGAACACTCGCACCATGAAAAGGCTGTATTAGAACAAAGGTTAGTTGGAAGATATGACTTGAGTAGCCTCTGTGGGAAGGGAATGATTACACAAAAGATAGGTGAATAATGAGAGATACCGAGTTGTGCATAAGTGTATCCTCCAAGATACCCATTTCTGTATCCCTGGTGTCATCACGGAGATTCAGTAAACATAGTTTACAGCTATTTGGTTTTCCATGCCATCCGCAATTTAGGTTATTGTCTTGAATTGATGTTGTATGTTTGTAGAATGATTGCGTACTTCAGGTGTACTGATTGACAACAACGTTCTAGTGCTAGGATACCATATAAAAATCATGTTTGCAATGTCTCGGTTTGTTTTATATCGAGATTTACTATTGACCGAGCCACATAATTATCTCAGTAAAAAGGTACGCTAAGGTAATTTATAAAATATTATATTTAACTTTCTGGGCGACAGCATTCAAGACATGTGGGCAACACTTCAAGTTGACACATCAGTGATATAAATTATGCAGTTACAATCCGTTTATGACTGGTGGTACTGATAAGGTGGGATACGCTGACCTTCGCGCGAACATCCGTTATCATCACATGGCAGAGCGTCAATCGTACAACAGACGTGTTATCAGAGTTTTTTCATACTTATTGACATGTTTTCGTCGGTTTCATTTTATCAAGGGGATCATGCAGTCTGCAACATATCTGATGCCAGGAGGAGGATGTTGTAAGGACGAATGCCCCTACTTGAGACTGAGTACTTACATACGTGAAAGGATCGATTTCAAGATACTCTGCCTGACCTATCAATCTTTTTACAACACAGGACCTTCGTATCTTCACGATCTTTTATACCAGTATGCTCCAATAAGAACTCTACGCTCTTCTCAACACATTCTGCTAACTGTTCCAAGCACAGGCCCCCACTGCGGGTCAGAAAATCGATAAACTAGGCCCCGGTTTAGTATCAACACCCCCTACTATATAATACATAAAGGTTCATCACAGAAATACGGTGACATGATCGAAAACCGGACAATTACGCACATGTCAATGAATATATCGTATTTTAAAGGTCTCACAAGTATCAAAAGCTTTTGTAGGAGGCATATACATGCGCTTTCTGTGGGGACGCATTTGATGTTTTTTATTAAATCGCCAAAGACCGAGTTGCTGTGCCGGAAGTGTACAAAACTAGGTCGTCAGCGCAATCAAATTGGTTAATAAAATGACAACAAATGCACGTGCGAAAATGAGAGGGAAACTCAAACGTCTATCATCCAAGATGTCACTATCTGATGTTTTATCTTGGTAAGAATAATTTTAAAAACGAGTACAAATATTTTTTAAAGAAACACATTCATTCAGTGTAATGTGTTAGCCAATCAGATCGCCGGAGGTAGTGAAGTCAAGCGCTGAGCTAGTTTTGTATACTTCCGGCACAGCAACTCGGTCTTTGGCGATTTAATAAAAACCATCAAATTCATCCCCACGGAAAGCCCATGTATATACCTCTTACATACATCGGAGATATGGACAAAAGCTTTTGATACTTGTGAGACCTTTAAGATACGATATATTCATTGACATGTGCGTAATTGTCCGGTTTTCGATCATGTCACCGTATTTCTGTGATGAACCTTTATGTATTATATAGTAGGGGGTGTTGATACTAAACCGGGGCCTAGTTTATCGATTTTCTGACCCGCAGTGGGGGCCTGTGGTGCCAAGTTACAATTTGAAATCATTTGGTGCAAGATCTTTCCCGTTTGCTGCTGCATCTCTATGGAATTCCCTTCCTATTGATATGAAGTCATCGGCAACCCTAGCGTCTTTCAAAGCACGCTCCAAGACACATGCCCATCCTGTATATAGTTTTATTATGCATGGCTATGTGTTGTGGAATTAGCGCTATACTACTACTACTACTGCTACTAAACAGTTGAATTCGAAACCGATTCACTCTATCGCATCAGGTAATATTTTTCGAAAAAATAGTGTGGACATTTTGTAACAATGGTATGTATAGATCTATGTTTAGAATGCAGTGTTGGTACCACAATGTACAACTATGCCTGTCAAATTCACTGAAGACACAGACAAGTATCTGGAACTTTAGACAAGAGTGAGCTTGAGTTTGTTTCCCACTATGATGTCTCACAATGAGTGATGGCTAGTTATTTCAAGTGGTGCCAAGTCTTGCTATATCTTCGTAAGGGGTCCGTGGTTTTCTGGTAACCTTGTGGTTAAAGTGTTCGCTCGTCATGCCCAAGTCCTGGGTTCGATTTCCCACATGGGTACAAAGTGTGAAGGCCACTTCTGGTATCCCAATGTGATGTTGCTGGGATATTGCTAAACGTATTGTAAAACCCAACTCACTCACTCTTTTTAAGGACTTGATCACTAAATTGAACTAATGTGCCCTAAACTTAGTTGCTACATCATCTTCTACTAGATTATGTTGCCTCCAGCTGACATAATGAAGAACCTAAATTAGGATATCACCTGGCCCTTAAGTGACATATCAAATACGTCAAAACTATTTCCCTGGGACATACGGCCAATATATATACATATGTACACACAAACACTTTTATAATAGTCATCAATTTATTGCATTTAGATAATATACTTTTTAACATCATATAGTCCTCTTTTATTTCAGACATTGCATATTAATTCTATAAAAGACATCTGCAAAGTCAGGTGTACAATATACGGGAACTCTACAAAGACAAAACAGTTCCTGTGCCATACAGAAAAGACAAGCTGTCCAATGATATCTGAATGCACTGAAGTTCTATATGCAACAAGTAGAAAATAATAGCATCTGACAGACTAACCTGGTGCATGCACCTAGGAATGTAATGTAACAGTATGTAGATTACAGTACAAGAAGGCTATTCCAGACTATTATTCAGAATGATTTCTGTTAGGACAGTCTAAACATATGCAAAAGAGAAATGATAAGGGAGCCACATGGTTTCATTGAGAAATGTTACCTTCTATATGAACAACATGTCAGTGTATAATATATATCTGCTGGTTAGTAGCTGCTCAGTAGCCTCAAATCGATTAACTCTTATTTGTGTCAAAGTGATTGTACTTTCATATTACCTTGAGCACAGCCCAGAGCTGTATAACCCTTGCCATAATAGAAGCACAGGGTTGTTTAACAAACATTTGTATTAAAGATGTGTTTTCTTCTGGAACATGCCATAGGAGAGAGAAGGTGAGATGTCCAGGTAAGTGACTGTGTTTAAATCATGGTATATAATCAAGAGGAAGCCCCAATGGACAAAGGTAAGAGACAAATATGTGATAAAGTACACAAACATAGCGATACTTCACAGTGTCAGTCTTGGATCTGAACCAACAAGAAGCAAATCCAGGTACCTCTGCCACTAAGCTGAAGCAAAGACAATACAAACAGTTGCACATGAAGGAGCAGTAAAGGAATGAAAGTTGTTATTGTTATATGCCTAAGTCAGCATGACTTTTGAAATATTTTGAAATAGCAGGTAAATACTGTGGAGGGACAACTAGACCAGCTGACTCCATACATGACCCACGACACAATGACACAACACACCACATAACCAATCATCCCAACATGTGCCCGACTGATTCCTACTGTGGACCTACTGTAGCTAGGAATGAGTGAGTTAAATTCAACATTGCATCAGTATTATTTCAGCCATAAATTGACATATCTGGGAATACCCAACTGAAGGCTAAAATCATGACAAAGTGGGACATTGTAAAACAAAGCTCTGTGTTTCCTTACTGAGAAAACTTGAAACACCTTGGAAGACAAAATGCCACAGCAAAGGTATTGCTGAGATAGAGCTAGCACAAATTTGTTCATACAGCTATTGACTTAAACAAATTATTACAACTGGGTATGAGGTAAGTATATTTTAACCGATGCAGTTTAACTGAATCATGCACTTATTCTATAAGGGACCATTCATAATTTATGGCTGGTGTGTGTGTGCGTGCGTGCATGCGTTTTGATGATGATTTTAAGGGGGGTCACCCATTTTGATCTGGGGACCTGTGTGTGTGCGTGTGTGTGCGTGTAATATATCAATTTTGTACACACGTACTAGGGGGTCAGCAATTTGTACATAAAAATATGTTTAAAATTATGCTTAGAAAATATGAGAAGGGAAAGGGGGCATTGATTTTGTACATGACATGCAGGGGGTCACTTATTTTGTACATAAATTTTAAGGGGGGTCATTCACATTGTACATGCTTCTCCATAAAAACAATCATCATCACCCCCTCAAGCCATAAATTATGAACGGTCCCTAAGTATTAGAGCTACAAGGTGCATACTTGCTACATATCAAAGCAACATTTAACAACCATTCTGATCTTCAAAAATGTAAAGGGAGCATGAATACTTTCAAAATTGTATGGACTGATTACCATCTCTCAAAAATATGTTACGTTTTCTGTTCTACAGTTTGAGTGAGCATCCTGGCCTTCTTAGACTGAGTGAGGAATGAACACAGTTCCTTGCTTCCATCAGTCTTACTGGCACAGGTGTTGAACCACTGACATCTACACACTTTGCAGTAAGACATGTCATCTTTCTGTAGTGACCAGGGTGCCATTGTACAAAGCGATCTTAACGCTAAGGTGACCGTAACTCCCATACCTTAACATAGACTTAATGTAGTCTTAGCGCTAAGGTTGTTTTGTACAACAGCACCCAACACATGCCAGTATCACCAACACACCGTAACCAACGCCAACAGTTACAGACTGTTTCTCCTTGGTGAAATTGTGGAATCTCTCCATTACTTGTACAACACCATCAAATTATAGTCATGATCCATATTACCTTCAATATTTCCTATACCTAATCAAATGATGCATGACAGTTAGCCACAGCAAATAGAAGGTGTCCTTTCAAAATGGCCAACTGTCTGAAGCAGGACTTGAGCAAAGTCTTGCCACTTCAGCTGGCCCCCTGTACATCCTGGCTAGTGTGCAACAATACATTATGTACAACGTGGGACCACTTCCTTGTTAGAAACTTGGACATTTAATGCCAGAACTATCATCAATAATCAAAGAAAGGCTCTGTCCATTTCTGATCATATCAAATGGATCTGTTTTTAACTTAAAATTATGGATTTCATGTTTTTCAATAAATAAACGAGTATATTTTTAAATATGGTACCGGTATACAATATATACGTAAAATATAAAATGGTAACATCTCGGAAACTTAACGAGTCACAAACCATTGCATTTGATCATAAAATCTCTTTGTTTATCCGAAAGTTCCACAAAGTTGTAAATTTGTATAAAATGTTTTGATCTTCTTCATTGTAAAAAAGCAAAAACGGAATGAGTTCTTCAGTTTCTTAAGCAGGTTAGCTCCACATCAACAAACAGTTATGAGAAACTGTCTCCAAGTGTTGCTCGCAGAAACCATCATCTGACATACAGTCAATGAATTTTAAGACTTCATTCTTACATACAGTTATCTGTATAGATTTGCAAGAGAAAATATATGTATAGTTTTTAAACATACAAGTAACACAACGTTATTCAAGCAATACAAATGTCGGAACACACATATGTATGACAATACATGATCATACATAGAATTCAGACCCATACTTTCGGAGCACAACTTGCAGTGTTATACTTCAATATGTACATTTTACCATTCTGTAAGATATAGTTTGATTCATCTCTTTAAGTTTGTTCTCTGTTACAGAACCAAGGTTAATGGGTCTGGTTCTTTTTGTGTGTACAAAAATATACAATTTCAAATACAAAACCTGGTCTCGTCCTCTGAGGTCACCACTGTTAGAAACTGATGAGAAGCAAAACAACGTGTGGCTCACATCTGGTTGGTAATTTCATTAGTCATCAGAAGTCCCCAAAACAAATTTTGTACGCATTACCATATTTGGCATATAACTTTTCTATGACAACTTTCATTGAAACACATCTGTGAACATGTAAATGTTTCTCTTGGTAATTGACAATCTATGCACAGATCTCCTACATTACACTGCATTGTGTATGTATGTCTATATTGTGATATGCCAAATATGGTCAATAGAGAAGTAGGAGGTTTGAGAAATGTATAAAAATGACATCAAAATGACAACATAAGGATAAATACCAGCTATTTGTCACAATTCATCAACAATACAAAAGGGTGATTAAAACCTAACATATTGACAGAAATCTGGCATTTGTCCAGGATATTTCAGCATCAAAACATCACCTTGTATTTCATGGCAGGAACATAGACATATCAATTCACAGACATAAACTTTGACATTCAACCGAGGTTGCAAATATACATTCTGAGATTCATTCATTCTTTCAAATTTTCTTCAATTCTGCTTGAGAGCCAGGTATGTTATTCTTCTTTATATAAACCACAAGGTCGACGGAATTCCTGCCCCCTCTCATGAATCCACTTGTTGGACACCCACTTTGTCCCCACTAACACAGGGCAGGCAGCATGGCGGGTGTTGTAAATACCTTCTCCATTCTTATACAGGTTGTACCAAAACGCTGCAGTACCCTGAGGAAATGAAAACACAAAGTTTGCAACAAGAGGTTTAAACACACTCAGTATCTGACTTAGTTGTAGTACAAAGAGTTCTGAGAAAAAAAGATTATTTCAACATGATTACATCTGTACAGGCCTCAAGGATATAGTTTTTCATAACAGAAAACAGCTGTGGCAGGTTGAGCAAACGCACCCTACTGTTAGCAGACTATTGGAACAGGAGCCATGTGTGGACTGGGGAGGCAACAAGTCTGTGACACCACATTCTTAAAGCAGTATACTCATGCATATATGGAAGTGTCAGGTATACTGATGATGTACACAAACACTACAACTCTCAGAAAAAAATACAACTAACTCACAAAAGAAAACAAGAAAAAAATTGTGTCCAGGGACACGGATGCCCCCGCTGACATTCATAAGACATATAAAGATCAATAATTGAACAAAATTCACAAAACAATAAACATCTATGCCACTATGACCCGCACACCTTTCGAGTCTCAATGAAACACATGTATAAGCTTAATCAATTCTGTTGAGCAGTTTTTGTGGAGAAATTGATAGGCTTCATCCCCTATAACACTATATTCAGAGAGAAATTCAACAAAATTTATTCAAGTTCAAACGGCATTAAAATTGGAAAAATGAATAAAATACAAAATCAAAATATGAGATGCACGCCTTTAGAGTCCCTATAAAGCACATGTGTAATCTAAAAGAATTCCATAAAGTAGTTTTTGAGGAGATGTGGATAACTTACACCCCCTGTTGGATGGAACGAACACTGGCTGAATAGAACAAAATTCAACTAAGTTCAAACATCTGTAAAAGTGACAAAAGTAAGAAATTCCATAAAAAATTATGAAATGCACACCTTTAGAGTCCCTACAAAAGACATGTAGAAGTTCATTCAATTCTGTTGAGCAGTTTTTGTGGAGAAGTGGATAGACTTTATCCCCTATTACACTATCATCATAGAGAAATTCAGCAAAATGTACCTAAGTTCAAATGTCTCTAAACTTACAAAAAAAAACAATAAAATAAAAAAACAAAATATGAGATGCACACCATTAGAGTCCCAAGAAAGCCCATGTATAAGTTCATTGAATTCCACAGAGCGGTTATGGTGGAGAAGTGGATAGAATACATTCCCTGTTTCGTACGGACGGACGGACACCGAGGGTAACCCTATATGCCCCTGCCATATATGGCGGGGGCATAAAAACATGACTACCAAATGAATTTTTTTTTACCATATTTGTGTGATTTAATACTGAAAATCACAGCATTGAATTAAACGACATAGCCTCATGTTCTTTATTTGCATTTCAATAGCACTTTGAAATTGTGGTTACCAACTGCAGCTGGCAGTATCTTCACAACATAATGACAGGAAACTAAACTTGGAATTTTTAGCTTCAAAAGTGCATTTTCTCGTTCGCATAAAAGTCCACATGTGCGAGCCATGTATGAAATAATTCACCACTGACTCTGTTAATTTAAATGTTAGGACTTACCAGTACATAGTAAAATAGCAAATAATGATAAAAAATATATGCACCATGCATGCTGGTGTTGTGCACTACTTGCAGGCATGTCGAGTCCTGGGCTAGACGAAGCCTCCCGACCATGATACATAGAAACTGTTGCCACTAATACAAAGTCTCACCTTTTTGGGAAACAGTTTCACACCAATGTATGGGAAGACAGTGGCCCCCAAAGACCATGTAATGTAATCATACAGATTGACCTCTCTTCATAAAACTATATGATACACACTGCATGTTACTAACTTAACCACATCAAGACATGTCATCGTCATGACCAGATCTTGTTGGATGGTACCATATAGAAAGACCATGTCAATATTGTCATGAACAGATCTTGTTGGATGGTACCATATAGACAGACCATGTTATATTGCTATGGACATACCAGAAAGATGAACATACAGACATCTCATGTCATGTTACCATCAACATTAACATACAGATTGAGTGGCATGTTACCATACATATCATTTTAACATGGACCGATCTTGTTTCTTGCTACAATAATGTAATTTTTTAAGTAAAATTGATATTTTATACTTATCCTGACTCCCTTCTTATCTCCCTTTCCCTTTCGAATGGTAGTGGAACACTTGAATCCCTTCAAGTTCCCCGACGTGCCCAGACTCACCCACGAGTTACCTCCCTTCCTCTTTCCGCATAAAGCATTTGTGGCGTGCCCAGACTTGTCACTCTCTCCTTATAATTTCGCCCATGCACTGGGATCTGCTGTGAAATCCCAAGTGTCTCCAACGGGGAGGTTGGGAGGGCTTGTTCGTCATGAGTCAGGATAAGTATAAAATATCAATTTTACTTAAAAAATTACATATTTTTCCTTATCCTGACTCATGATCTTTGCTTATAAAATCTGCCGTTATAGGTGGTGGGTCAAGCCACTGGATTCAACAGCTGTCCTTAGATACGTCCTGTATCCCCCCAATCGGAACTGCAAACGGCATTTCCGTGGTCCTATTCTTCCAACTTGCGTAGTAACTTGGGGGGACCACTCCTTGTCTTACTTCAATCTCAGACAAGTTGAATCATGTTGATTCGTGTGGTTATAGATTAACTAGTTCTTCTGTACTAGATATCTTATAACAACCCATGGATTATGATAAGGTTTTTATCATAAATGAGTTGCGATCCCTTTATGTGCAGGTAAGGTCCCTACCCGCACAGGATCTTAATCACTCATGCTAGTCTGTCCTAGACTGTGCGCATGGACTTTCAAACTAATACTTCCTAGTAAAAGTCATCTTTAAGTCAACGTGATAAAGGGTGAGATTTCAACTCAGCGCCTTTGAGGAACCGTTAGTTGCTGTGCTACAACGAGAGGCCCAAATTGGTGAATGCCTGAGACGTCTTCAGTGGCTATGTCTCGGAGGTAGTGGTTGGCAAACACCGTGTCCGACTTCCAGAAGCAGCCCTCCATTATTGTCGGTATAGAGCAATTTCCATGTAGAGCTAGTGTTGACGCCAGTGCTCTCACTTCGTGTGGGTTGGAAGCTCTAGGAGGTTCTAGTCCTGCTGCTTTGTAGGCTCTCAATATGACGGCTCTCGTCCAGAACGATATGGTCGTTTTTGAGACTTCAGTTGATGTCTCCGTTGATAATGGGATGAATAGGCGCTTGAATTTTCTTCTCCTCATCTTAGTCTTTTGAAGATATATCTTCAAGGCTCTGACTGGGCACAAGGATAGGACACTGTAGACAGCGCTGGTACATGGAATTGTCTATCTGGTTGACCAGGTAGTTGATTCTTGGCAATAAAGTCCCATCTAAGTCCTAGATGAACTGTATTATTCTGCCCTCTGTCAAACGTCGTTCGACCGTAGTCCAGCACATGTATCTCCGATATGCGAGCTGCAGTGGCTAACGCTAGCAGGAACAGCGTCTTCTGTGTTAGCAGCTCGATCGTGATCTGGTCTAGTGGTTCGTAGACATCACTGGTAAGATGATGCAGAATTACATTCAGGTCCCAGGCTGGGGCTCTGAATTTCTTTTGTTGGTCTTCCAACTTGAATGATTTCAGCAGAGCAAGTAATTCTGGTACTTTCGTCAACTTGATGCCTGTTTTCATGGTAATCACTGTACTGAGGGCAGCGAGGTAAGTCGATAGAGTTGAACCTTTTAGATGTCTGGTCTGTCTCAGATGACATAGATATATTCCGCCACTTTAGGATGCGTAGCTGTTATGGCTGTGAAGCCTTTCCGCCTTGCGTTAGTTTCAAACTTCAGCCATTTATCGTCATATAGGTTGCGAGTCGATCTGCGTAACACTAGAGTTACTGCCTTGGCTGCTCTGGCGGAGTATCCTCTTTTCTTCAAACACATTTTGATACAGTCCACACGTGTAGCTGGAACACTGCTGGGTTTCTGTGGACTTGCTTGGTGTGCGGATGTATCAGTAGGTTCGGCCAATCTGGAAGCTTGATTACTGGGCTTCCTAGGGTTTCTAGTAGATCTGGGAACCATGCTCTCGCTGGCCAGTAAGGCGCGACCAAAGTCAGTTGTAGCGTCTGTGTCTGTTTGATCTTGACCAGTACTTTGGGCAGTAGTATCGGGGGTGGAAAAGTGTAGCTGTTTAGTCCTTCCCACGACATGCTCAGTGCATCTGTTGCCCAGGCTTGAGGATCTGGAACTGGTGAGACGAACGTCTGCAGTTGTTTGTTGAACCTCGTGGCGAACAGGTCTATGGAGGGGAATGCTATTTCCCTTACGTTCCGCGAAACGCTTCTGGATGGAGCATCCATTCTGTTGGCGACGGGCGTAGTGGTCTTGAGAGAGCGCCTGCTAGTACGTTCTTGGCTCCGGGTATGTGACACGCTTTTATCCAGATGTCTGCTTTTTGCGTGATCTGGAACAACTGGAATGTGAGCTGCAGTAGGCTTGGTGATCTTGTGGATCCTTGCCGGTTTATAGAGAACGCCACTGTGGAGTTGTCTGTGTGGATCATCAACATCTTGTTGTTCAGTAAGCTCGCCCATAGTTGTACTGCGTTGATCACTGCTTTCATCTCTAGTAGATTGATGTGGAGCTTTTGTTCTGTATGAGACCACTTTCCCGACGCTACTTGATCGTTGAGATGTGCCCCCCATCCCTGCAACGAGGCATCCGCGTAGAGGTGTGTCTTGAAGACCGGCTCTTGTAAATAGACTCCTTCGCAGACATTCGACCTGTGTGTCCACCATAGTAGATACCTCTTGAGGTTTTCGGGCAGCAGGATAGGGTCGACACTGTTCTGAGGCTTTATGAGGAACCGTTGTAGCGGTCTTAGCTGTAACCTTCCTATGTGCGTCAAGTCTTGCGCCGAGGTTAGTAGACCGAGTAGAACTTGCCATGATCGTAGTGTTAACGGAGAGGTGACTGCTGGCGGAATCATGGCTTGTATCTTGACCCATCGATCCTCTGGGATGACGATTCGATTCTCTGCAGTGATGAATCTTATCCCCAGGAATTGTAGATCTTGTTTTGGTTCCAATTCTGACTTCCTTAGGTTCACCAACCATCCCAGTTGAGTGAGCAACTTGATCGTGAAGTTCAGCTGTAGTCTGAGTAGACTTGCATCTTGGTGGACCTGAATCCCGTCGTCCAGGTAGAAGGCATTGCGTAGACCTCGTTGATGAAGGTATGCGACTATAGGCTTGGTTATTCGTGTGAATAGCCACGGGGCCGAAGATATTCCAAACGGTAGCACGCTCCATTGGTAGTGTTGCCCTTTGAACAGGAATCGTAGATATTTCCTTGATTCTTGATGTATCGGGATGTGCAGGTACGCATCCTGTAAGTCTATGCTGGCCATGTAATCTGCTGGACGGACGAGTTGTTTCAGTTGAGGTAGGTGGATCATGCTGAACCTCTCTGGTTTCAGTAGATAGTCTCTGTTGAATTTGCGCATGTTGTAAATCAGTCTGAACTTCTCTAAGGAGTTCTTCTTTGGTACTAGAAAAATTGGGGAGTAGAAGCCTGGGGTGAGATGATTCTGGTCTATTATCTCTACTGCATCTTTCGAGAGAAGTGCATTGATGGCTTCTTGTAATTTGTCTGCCTGCTCCTCTCCGTACTTGAAGACCATCGGGCTGAGGGTTAACGGAGGGGCATCTTTCAGTTGTACTTTGTACCCTTCTCTTAGTACCTGAGAGGCGTAGTCGTCTCCTAGAATCCCCCAATTTTTCCAGTACCCTTGTAGACGTCCACCCACTGTCGATAGTTTTACAGGAACGGCTGGGGGTGGAAGACTCCAGTCGTTCCGAACTGTGGCTTCAGCGTCTGGTACTTCTGGAAGCTCTGGGGCCGCGGCCTCTTCCTGAGTTTCCTCTGTAGTTGCCTGAAGGGCGAAGAAAAGAGTCCTTCCCGCCTCTGGAGCTGGAGTACTTCCTGTCTTTAGCTCTCTGTATCCCAGCGTATTTAGACTTGTTGTTGTATCTCTGGGAAGTATGGCGGATGACGCTGGCCAAGGTGTCTATGGTCTTGATCATCATGACCTCTCTGGAGTCTTGTGTAGCTTGTTTAGCTGCATCATCCAATAGACCTCCAAAGATGGTAGGCGCCTCCCACGGAGCTCGTAGTAAAGGCTGCGTAAATCTGTCATTCCAGGAGCAGGACGCCAGTATACCCTGTCTGCGTATTAAGGTGATTGCCGCCGAAATTGATGTGAGGTGGTCCGATAGGAAGAACTGATCCTTCTTTTGAGTGACGAGGGCCGAGTAGATCATTTTATCCTCTTCCGTGGTGGAATTCTGGAATTTCTGTATCAACGCTTCGTTGATGGCCCTAGATCTTGCTAGTCCGAAGAAAGATCTTCTAGAAGCTGTATCTACTTGTGATAACTTCTTATCATCCACCTTATACACCTTAGTCCTGGCATCGTTGACCAACTTGATGTTGTCGTCCCACTCCGGCGCCTTCACAAATGGTTCCATTTTATGTAGGGGGAATCTCTTCTTATTAAAAGATGGTAGTTGCTGCGTCTGGAACTTAGATGCCTTCGCGAAGGCTGAGCGAAGAGTGTCTGGTACGCTGGATATAGGCTCGATCGGTGGGATTGTGACGGAGTCGAAGTCATCATCCTTCATCATGTAGGTGTAACTTTCGTTCCTATCTTTAGATGGAGACACCAGGTTCAATCTGCTGGCAATCCAAGCCGTAACTTCAGAGTCCGAGAAGACGGGGGTCCGTAGTGTCTTGGTTCAGAGAGCTGTGTCTTGTTGACGTATCTCTGTGTGAGCCTGTATCCCTTCGCGAACCTTCATCTAGGGTTCGCGAACCTGCAGCTGAAGATTCCTCCCTGTGCGAACGTCTGTCATAGGAACGTTCCCTTCGCGAACGTCTTTCTCTGGAATCTCTTCGCGAACCTCCGTGTGATGAGCTATGCCTTCACGAACGACTGCGTGGTGATCTGGATCTGGATCGGCTAGACGTCGGGGCAGGCTTCTTAGAGGTTCGCGAACGTGGACTGCGTCTCATCTGGGCTGTCTCGTAGTATGACAGAGTCTGGAGCCCTTCGCGGAGGAGTACGTTCGCCAACGTCAACTGCCGGTGTAGCTCTGATTGGTGGAGATTCGTGCAGCCCAGTGGGTTTGCGCACGCTCTCAGCAGACTGTAGGTTCTTCCTTGATTCCTGCTGAAGTCTCTGCTCCATCATAGCCATCATCTTGTTGGTGAACTGCGTCATGAACTCCCCCAGGTCGAAAAGTTCTGCATTAGTTGTGCCGGCTGCGATCCTGTTTTCCTTGCCTCAACTTCTGTCCTCGAAGTAAGAGGTCTTATGTTGGACAGCTGGCCTGCTGTGACATTCATAGGTGATGATCTAGTCGTAGTAGATATCGACTGCGTCATAGATGTCATCGATACCTCAGGTAGAAGTATAGGGGGGTCGTCAAACACGTCTTTCTCATGCGGCGGTACAATCTCATCATTGAAAGATCTCTGCTTCACAGCGGTAGAACGTGTAGTTTTGCCCTCAGGTCTAGTACTCGCAGATCTTCTCTGCGTAGTAGAAGAGGACGCTGTCTTCTTCTTAGACTGGGACGGCGTAGGTTGCGAGGATGACGACCTTTTCTTAGCCCCCTTTGCCGCAGACTGGTTCTGTAATGTACTAGGCAACATATCACTATTATGAACATCAGCAGCAAGCAACATACGGTTTTTGGCCTGATCTCCAGATTTATCACATGTGACTAGAGATGTCTTTTTCACCCGATCCATGGCACGTCTATAAACATAAGACAGATATTGATTAAATTGTAATTCAGTTAAATCAACACAGTAGCTACAACGCAAGGTGGATGAACATGGATCTGTACATGATGGACATTGGGGGTGAGGATCAGCCAGCGACAACCTGTGTTTACACACACAACAAGATTTCATGAATTGTAAACAAAGTTACAACACGATGAAAACATGACTCAAAGTCAATAAATTCCAACAAATTTGTACAAATATTACATCGTAATTATAACCAAAACCATACACAGCTTAATTTAGAAGAATAGGCCTAAATATAAATAATAGATTGCCGTATACGGGACTCAGTGCTCGCCCAACCATCCGTATGGGCGAAAAGGGAGAGAGTGACAAGTCTGGGCACGTCACATGGTACGTTTGCGCGGGAAAGAGGAAGGGAGGTAACTCGTGGGTGAGTATTGTACGTCCGCTTCGGGAACTTCAAGGGATTCAAGTGTTCCACTACCATTCGAAAGGGAAATGGAGATAAGCAAAGATCATGAGTCAGGATAAGGAAAAATTTGACATATCGACGGATCATGTCATGATACCATACAGGCATATTGTGTCATGTTACCACACGGATAGATCATGTCATGATACCATACAGACATATTGAGTCATGTTACCACACAGACAGATCATGTCATGATACCATACAGACATATTGTGTCATGTTACCACACAGACAGATCATGTCATGATACCATACAGACATATTGTGTCATGTTACCACACGGACAGATCATGTCATGATACCATACAGACATATTGGGTCATGTTACCACACAGACAGATCATGTCATGACACCATACAGGCATATTGGGTCATGTTACCACACAGAGAGATCATGTCATGATACCATACAGACATATTGTGTCATGTTACCACACAGACAGATCATGTCATGATACCATACAGACATACTGAGTCATGTTACCACACAGAGAGATCATGTCATGATACCATACAGACATATTGGGTCATGTTACCACACAGACAGATCATGTCATGATACCATACAGACATATTAAGGCCATGTTACCACACAGAGATCATGTCATGATACCATACAGACATATTGTGTCATGTTACCACACAGACAGATCATGTCATGATACCATACAGACATACTGAGTCATGTTACCACACGGACAGATCATGTCATGATACCATACAGGCATATTGTGTCATGTTACCACATCATGTCATGATACCATACAGACAGATGTTACATGTCATGATACCATACAGACATATTGGGTCATGTTACCACACAGACAGATCATGTCATGATACCATACAGACATATTGTGTCATGTTACCACACAGAGAGATCATGTCATGATACCATACAGACATATTGTGTCATGTTACCACACAGACAGATCATGTCATGATACCATACAGACATACTGAGTCATGTTACCACACAGAGAGATCATGTCATGATACCATACAGACATATTGGGTCATGTTACCACACAGACAGATCATGTCATGATACCATACAGACATATTGCGTCATGTTACCACACAGAGAGATCATGTCATGATACCATACAGACATATTGTGTCATGTTACCACACAGACAGATCATGTCATGATACCATACAGACATACTGAGTCATGTTACCACCGCGGACAGATCATGTCATGATACCATACAGGCATATTGTGTCATGTTACCACACGGGCAGATCATGTCATGATACCATACAGACATATTGGGTCATGTTACCACACAGACAGATCATGTCATGATACCATACAGACATATTGCGTCATGTTACCACACAGAGAGATCATGTCATGATACCATACAGACATATTGTGTCATGTTACCACACAGACAGATCATGTCATGATACCATACAGACATACTGAGTCATGTTACCACACGGACAGATCATGTCATGATACCATACAGGCATATTGTGTCATGTTACCACACGGGACAGATCATGTCATGATACCATACAGACATATTGGGTCATGTTACCACACAGACAGATCATGTCATGATACCATACAGACATATTGCGTCATGTTACCACACAGAGATATCATGTCATGATACCATACAGACATATTGTGTCATGTTACCACACAGACAGATCATGTCATGATACCATACAGACATACTGAGTCATGTTACCACACGGACAGATCATGTCATGATACCATACAGGCATATTGTGTCATGTTACCACACGGACAGATCATGTCATGATACCATACAGACATACTGAGTCATGTTACCACACAGACAGATCATGTCATGATACCATACAGACATATTGGGTCATGTTACCACACGGACAGATCATGTCATGATACCATACAGACATATTGCGTCATGTTACCACACGGACAGATCATGTCATGATACCATACAGACATATTGTGTCATGTTACCACACGGACAGATCATGTCAATTACCATAGATTTTCTTTATCAATACTGGTAAGATTGTTTGCAGCTGACATACAAAACTTTCATCCCGCTACCATGGAGACATCAACATCAGGGCAAGCCTCATCTGGCTGAGATTATAAAACTGTAGGGGTAATAACCAACTGAAGCAATTCCGACATTTCAGGGTGGATTGTCAACTACTTACATAAAACAGGAATGTTGCTATCCTGTTCCCAGTACCAAGTGACTTGAATGCATCCTTTTCTTCTTTCTGACGTAATCAAACAATCATGTACATTTCAGATATGGATACAAATCAAATAATAATTTCTACTCCATCTTGTCCCTGCTTCAGTGTCCTTGTCTCCAGCTTACCTACCTGAGTCAAACTACCAAACACATTATGTTGATGGTCACTCTGGATGCCCAAGGGCAACAATTCATGCCCAGGACAATTTGTTTGTTTGTTGTTTAAGGCCGCACTCAGCAATATTCCAGCTATATGGCGGCGGTCTGTAAATAATCAAGTCTGAACCAGACAATTCAGTGATCAACAGCATAAGCATTGATCGACACAACTGGGATACGATGACGTGTCAACCATGTCAGCGAGTCTGACCACCCCATCCCCTTAGTCGCCTTTTACAACAAGTATGGGTTACTGAAGACCAATTCTAACCCGAATCTTCACGGGTCGCCAAGGACACATTAGTCTAAACGATGGCATTAAGAAATCAGCCACAAACTGCCTCTAAGGTAAGGGACCAATTGCCTGTTAGAATACAAGACAAAACCATGCAAAATCATCTCCATGAATGACATACTGACATCATTTGAATATGAGATCAGTTGAGCAGGGAATGTCAGCAAATGGGATAATCAACATGTGGCTAATGTTCAGACAAATCCAGGTTGATGCTTGACTTCCATGACCAAAGGAATCAAGTTGGATGTTCTAATAAGAGTTTTATGGAAGTTTGAAAGAATAATTGATTTGGGATGGGTCCATAATTGTATGGGTTGGTATCACACTGACTGGCCAAAAGTATTCATGATTTCAAAAGCAGCCATTTGCTCAAACTAAAGGAATGTAACTCTAATCTGAAGCAACTGCTGACCAGCAGAGACAGGTTCAAAATTTGAAACAATATGTACATAACTAAATGCATCTCGATGCATCTACAGATATCATATCAACAATGCCATTGTCCAGTAGTTTCTGGAGATGCTTATGACACACGATGGACAACACAACACAGAAACTGACCACGACAAGCTCACATAGTTAAAGATCACATATACTCTAGGGGGGTACAAATACATAAATCACTAACTGGCATCGCTATAAATGAAACCCCGTCATTAAAACTACTCACTTCGATCTTTAATCAACTTAAATAGACCTTTTTGACAACAGTGCACAATTCTCACCCGCGAACGAAATTTCAACCAATCAGTGCGGGGCGTCTCTGTGACGTCATATGAGGAATAGATATGAGGGCCGATGCAGAATTCATCTACATTTTCAGTGGGTAAATTATCTTGTTTACAGGTTTGTATAAACCTGAAATAGTGACAACTGTTGTGGAAAATGAAAGCTATATGTTCTCACAATCTACTGTCATATAATTTGGTCTCCTGCTTTGCCTAGTTTCCGAGTTACAACTTGTTTTCATAGACGATTCTGTCAAAATCGCTTGGTTTCGTTAGGCCTTATTTGTATAATGACTGGTCCAAATTGATCCCATTTCTGTGTTTTTTTACCTCGATATTTAATCATGTCATGTAAAACTATGACGTCTATTACGTATGATATTAAAAATTGACATTTGATTTATTTGAATCGGTAAACTAAACAACCCTATTTTGCCATTGCTAGAGGAATCTGAAATTTTACTTAGGTAAATAGGTACATACAGTTTTAGCACACAGCAAATGTTTATATGTATTTCTTCTGCAACAATGAAGTTCTGTTTGTATTCTCAAAACAGTGTCGGCCCATAAGTTTTCACATGCAATACAGCAATTAATACTCCCTTGTTGTAACCCGTGTTAGGTGGTATAAACCTACACATGTTATTTGTCATCATTCACTTGATGGTCAGTTAATGAATTTATAACAGGTATAATTAGTGGTAACACACTTAGATTACCCGACAAAGGTTCCCATTTCGCATTTCTTGTGTCTGGAGTAAATATTCAACATTATAAACATCGATCAAAGGATTAACCGATAACACGCTGATTGATTAATTACTTTTATCTTACACAGCGGATTTGTCAAAAGGTAGTGTTTATGTATGTAGATTTACTAATCTATACTGAATACACTCTGTCGTGTCTGTGGCTGCGTAAAAACAACGTCCTTCCTTCAAAGGATTAACCGCCAATACAGTGATTGATTGCTCATTATTGGCTAACTAAATTACCGTTTTTAAAGAATGGCGGACATTATGCAATCAGTTGCCAGGTGTGCTATCTTGGGTGACCAATGAGACTATACACCAATGTGACATACCTGAAACGATATATCACTTTTTCGTATGCTAGACTGTTAAAAGACACATTACTTGGAACAGCTGCAGATGAATGGCATATCACTCGTTTTTGTGGATATTGATGGATACATTCCTCGAACAAGGTAATAGCCTGACATTGTTCTTATAAATTTAATCTGTTTTAATTTTAATATTTGCATTTTGTTTGTATTCATTTGTCGTAGCATTCAACAGAATAGTTGTTTTCGCCGTGAAGTGTAATGAGACATACACTAGGGCGTGTGTGCGAATTATGATTCACATTGGCAAACTATTAAATGTCTAGATATTAAAGTCCTGTTATAAATGCACTATAAGTATCAGCAGATCGTCTGCTTTTTATTTAGTTTCAAAATGCATGCAAGTATAATAATAAACTAATTAGGATTATAAGACCAAATATAAAGACGTACATTGACTAGTATCTACATACTGGTGAGTGCACGTTAACCACATGAATGTAGCAAGAAATTTATCGCGCAGTATTGTCACTTCGACCCCCACCCCGATTCCGTGGAAGAAATCGTTATGTTATAAGTTGTGTCATGCAAAATGCTTTTGGTTATGATTCAAATACATATTTAACTACGAGTAGAAAGTAGTTTTGATTTTCTAACTTGATGAAAACAAACCATAATCTCATTAAGTCTAACAGACTTTAGCCCGTGACTTCACGATTTTCAAAAATGGCGGCGCCCTGTCGCGAACATCTGCCAGTGTGAGTATAAATGCTATTTAGGTTTGTTTTCACCGAGTTACAAAATCAAAACTACTTTCTACTGGTAGTAAAATATGTATTTGATTGATGGCCAATAGGATGTTGCATGACATAGCGTATAACATAACAAATTCTCTCATGGAAGCAAGGTGAGTGTCAATATAATACTACATGTACTTACAGTATTATTGTTACTTCGATCACAACCTTGCTTCTGAGGCAGAAATCGTTATGTTACAAGTTGTGTCATGGAAAATCTTTATGGTCGTCAATCATATACATATTTTACTACGACCAGTAAGTAGTTTTGATTCTTTAACTTCTGTGAAGCGATCTGAACACAAGTAAGATATCGTTTCAGGCTTCCACAACGCTCGCTTCGCACTCACAAACATAACCCATTTTGCACGAACTGCGGGGTCCTGTGGAAATTTGTGCATGGCGACACCATCGCCCGACCTCTAGGAGCAATTGACGACAACATAACGATTTGGCATGTCTTCGTTGATGTCGAGAAATCATCAAAATGACGAGCTTGCTACACACTTTCTATACAACTAACTGAAAATCCTTCCTCATATGACGTCACTGCAGTGCTCTGGCGACAGAGTTACGTAACCTGTCTGTGGTTTCGTTGGCGGGTGAGAGTGAAGCAGGCGACATTTTGGCAACTTTTAATCGCTCGGTACTAATTAACCACAAGTTTTTAAAGAAAGAATTTGGTGTTTCGCATAAGACTGACCACAAATCTTTCATATGTAGTAGTTAAAAGAGTAAAAAAAACAAAGTTTATTTGTTCTTTAAAGCATGTTAAGTCAGGTAAGCTGAAAATTAAGTTCCATAGTGATTTACAAATGTGTGTTAACGTATCAAGGAACTGCTTCCCACAACTGCATTGTACCACAACATTTCATATGTTTTTAACTTGACCCCCTGACATCCCCCCCCATGTCTGTCCGGTTCTTGTCCAGTTAATAAACCAGTTTATCTGTTATATCAAGTGTCCAGAACATATATATGCACAATGATAAAGACGTACCCTTGCAAAATCAAAGTGTGGTTCATAGTGTCCTCCTAATCCATAGTTGGCAACCTGGAACAGGAAAAACACTTTCAGTAAGGGAGAACTGGCTATTGGTACTTTTCTTCAAAAACAAATACCTTTTGGAAAAAGTCCATGTGTACAGAAATAGCTCATAATATGTAAGCTATCAACGGCAACCTCATTTGTAGAAGTATATGGTGCAGTCTCTGTAAAACAATATAATGTATTCTCATGGATCACACTGTTTTCCCATTCTGTGTATAATAAATAGATTTCGAAACAAGTGGGTATTGAAAATGGAAAATATTCCAACTCAATATTTTTAAACATTTTGATTTATTCATGAGGGAAAAAATATTTCTCTTTGGTGTGATCTACCTGTGTGCATGTACGTCATCAGGTACTGCACAGGTGACCGTGCACGCAAGCAACGCCAAGCCATTGTTACCTGTAATTCCTCAGCAGTCTCCATACTCAAGCCTGTAATGGCCTGCATCCTAGCATTGATTTGGGCCACTACTGGGTTTTCATCCTGCTTCAACCATGCACTGAAACAGATAATACCACAATGGTTACTTTGACACAAGCAGTAGAACAGAGACACCAGATGTTCTAAACAATGATTCAGCCAGTTGGTGGAGTGCAGACATGATTGGAAGGGCTGTAAGTAAGAAGCAAGAGCAAATAATTGGAATATGTGAGAGCAAATGTGGATTGTACTCTGCCAAACCCCACCAGCTACTGAAGCAGTTTTATAAGTAGTCTTTATTTGAGAAGAATTATGTCATCCACAAATATTCACAATCATGGTCCACTACTGCATGTATACATTGGCACAGTTATATTGTGGGTTAAAACGGTTATCATATACACAAAACAATCTACTGGGAATGACAAAAACTGGCCAATGTTTGATGGTGTTCACATCTGACATTGAAGAGAGGTTATGAAGAGGGGACAGGACAACACACTTCACACTTCTTATGATCAAAATCATATCTTCTAGGGATGCCATGATACATCATCGATGCATCGATACTTTTTCTAAGAGGATACAATTATTGATACATTCACAACTGTATCGATATTTAGTTTTGAAAGTATCACTTTAAATATGTTTATGTATCATTTACATTTTGCAATTGTATCATGTTTTTTTATCTTATGAGAGTTTTTTCATGCACAAAGATGGGAAATTAGAAATTTTTAATCTCTGAGAATCAAAATGTTGATCTTTTCAGGGACAATTATGAAACATGAAATATTAATGTTCAAAATGTAACTAAATTTACTCAATAATGCCACAAAAATAGGCATCGAGATACGTATCGAATCGTGAAACTTATGTATCGTGACATCCCTAATATACTAGCAACCAAATTCTGCTAGTGCAAGTCTGAACTTATGAAGAGGCATACATTATAAATAGCACTCAAAGCCAAATGCAATCTTAAAATACTTAGTGCTTTTTATTTGATCAACTAAATAATGTAGTGTGCCAGTATTTCGCAAATGAACACTATAGTCTAAGTATACGTTCTGATAAAAAAGTATCAGTATTAATATTATGTCACATTTCCAATATACAAATGAAATGAAAACAAAATAGGAAGAACTTTATATAAGATACCCCATGAATCTCATCAATAGCTCACCCCTGGAACTATTAGCTTTGATGAAATCTTGTTTCTGGCATACTAAACCATTTAAACCATTCTCCAAGGATCTATATAGCAATGTTTGCTGCTAGTTTTCCACAGGATGAAGGTTTTTTATTATGACCTGGTGAAATATTTTGACAAGAAAACAAAGTCATCAATATCCCCCGCAATGGCAAAATACTCTTCATGAATATGTCTACGAGTTATGATTATGTCAAATGTTTTCGTGTGTATATAGAAAAGTGGAAGGAGAGTATTGAAAGGTTTTAAAAGTTCTGCTCCAGAAAGGAGCACTATAGAAATAAAAACAAAACAAAAGGCACCAGTACACCACCAGACCAATCTATGTGCCAAGTTTGGTGAAGAAACATTGAACGGTTTTAGAGTTCTGCTCCGGAAAAGAGCACTACCACCAATTTCAGTGTAAGTCAAACTTGTTGCCATGGAAACGCCAAAAATATTTAATTCAGAATACCAAAACTACCAAAAGGCACTAGTACACCACCAGACCAATCTATGTGCCAAGTTTGGTGAAGAAATAGTGAATGGTTTTAGAGTTCTGCTCCGTAAAAGAGCACTACCACCGATTTCAGTCTAAGTCAAACTTGTTTCCATGGAAACGCCAAAAATATTTAATTCAGAAATCCAAAACTACCAAACGGCACCAGTACACCACCAGACCAATCTATGTGCCAAGTTTGGTGAAGAAATAGTGAACGGTTTTAGAGTTCTGCTACGGAAAAGAGCACAACCACCAATTTCAATCAAAGTCAAACTTAAAAATAAATTATTTTATTCAGAATTCCAAAACTACCAAAATGGAACCAGTACATCACCAGACCAATCTATGTGTCAAGTTTGGTGAAGAAATAGTGAACGGTTTTAGAGTTCTGCTCCGGAAAAGAGCACTACCACCAATTTCAGGCTAAGTCAAACTTGTTGCCACGGAAAAGCCAAAAATATTCTATTCAGAATTCCAAAACTACCAAACGGCACCAGTACACCACCAGATCTATCTATGTGCCAAGTTTGGTGAAGAAATAGTGAACGGTTTTAGAGTTCTGCTCCGGAAAAGAGCACTACCACCAATTTCAATCTAAGTCAAACTTAAAAATAAAATATTTTATTCAGAATTCCAAAACTACCAAAATGGAACCAGTACATCACCAGACCAATCTATGTGTCAAGTTTGGTGAAGAAATAGTGAACGGTTTTAGAGTTCTGCTCCGGAAAAGAGCACTACCACCAATTTCAGGCTAAGTCAAACTTGTTGCCACGGAAAAGCCAAAAATATTTTATTCAGAATTCCAAAACTACCAAAAGGCACCAGTACACCACCAGATCTATCTATGTGCCAAGTTTGGTGAAGAAATAGTGAACGGTTTTAGAGTTCTGCTCCAGAAAAGAGCCCTACCACCAATTTCAGGCTAAGTCAAAAATATTTTATTCAGAATTCCCAAACTACCAAAAGGCACCAGTACACCACCAGATGTATGTATGTGCTAAGTTTGGTGAAGAAACATTGAACAGTTTTAGAGTTCTGCTCCAGGAAAAGAGCACTACCACCAATTTCAGCCCAAGTTAAACTTGTTGCCATGGAAATGCCAAAAATATTTAATTCAGAATACCAAAACTACCAAAAGGCACCAGTACACCACCAGATCTATCCATGTGCCAAGTTTGGTGAAGAAATAGTGAACGGTTTTAAAGTTCTGCTCCGGAAAAGACAAATGTGCACGGACGCACGCATGCACAGACACATGCATGGACGGAGTCCATTTTTTAATAAAAAAAACGCAAAACGCGTTGCGGGGGATTTTAATTTGGCAAACATTTATTCCTTGATTTTGACCAGATTGACACACTTCCACCAGCATACCCAGGGGAGGTAATCATCAACACAAAACAAACGAAAGCATTGTTGTAAGCATGAGTATGGACATTCTCAATGGGGAACTATTCCTTCAAGGTGCCTCATTCAAATAACAGTTAAATAACAGTAGAATATAGAGCATACAAACCTTTTACTTATCCTATAGGTTGCCACTTCAAGTTCTCCTGTTTTAGCGTTCTGTACTGTAGCCCTGTTTAACTGAAAAACAAAACATTCATGATGTAGGTATCATTGCTTTGGTTTGGTTGTTGTTTTAATGCTGCACTCAGCAATATTACAGCTATATGGGACACGATGACATGTGTCAACCAAGTCAGCGAGCCTGACCACCCGATCCCTATTCGCCTCTTACGACAAGCATGGGTTACTGAAGATCAATTCTAACCTGGATCTTCATGGGTCATAGGCATCGTTGACTTAAATATTCACACATTTCACACTGTAAGTGGATGAACTATTTGTGGTATTCACTCCAAATGGAATTCAAAAGTGAAAGCCTGTTAATGATGGTCCTGGGTTGAATGAGAGCACCATATTACAAGATTAGACTTATAATACTGTCTATGTACAAACTTCATGATGTGACAGGGTGTGAGGACACTGGTTGAATTGTCCCAACACTTCCACCTCAGTGACCACATCAGCTATGCAGCGCACCTTGTGACAGACATACTCACAACAACAGCATCTTTAACAACCCAAACAAAACATGTTTGTTGTTGACTTAATACTAAAAAGTCTTGCTTCAATCTACCCTGCCCAAATTTCTTCTAAATTCTGGTTTATCTGAAGATATATGGGTCATTTTCAAAATTGGTAGGATTTTCTGTCCGTTCCCGAATAAAAAAAAAATCTGTGAGTATAAAAGGATTATTTTGTTCAAGAAAACATATTTAGATGTTTACTAGTCAGTAAATGTGGTATATCATTAGTCTTGTCATTTTGAAATTAATACTTAACCACATTTTGGGGTCAAAATTGGCAGATTTGCTCCGTCCGGAGGTGACGGTCCTAATATCAATGTTCACAAATAATGTAAATGTAAATGCAAATAAACAAATTAATTCATATTATGCCAATTAGGATTGATCAAGGATTGCATTTCAATTATTTTTAACTTAAAAAAGTTTTTTTCTACAAATTGTAACATGCTTGTCCTGTGATTCTGTGTCCTGACCGTTACCAGTGTATGAAATTCCTGCAATAATATCTCCCTGGAGCTGGATTGTAATACTACTTCCTGTGTCTGTTTGAGCTAGCCCCTGTGGATGTGACAGCAGATGAAATAAAGAGATTCAATACATTTTGAAGAAAACTGACACTGTCAAATAAGTATAAATGTTATGTGTCAACCTTAACTGTCCAGACCGTTACCAGTGTATTTTGTGTCAAATATGTATCTCTTTTTTTTTAAATTTCAATGGATATGGTGCCCAGAAATGGAAGAGGTGAAAGGCATGTCCTTTGAAATCTTCTAGGGATCATTCATTTTTTTATTTAAGATTTACTTACAAATTGTCTTGATCGTTACTGTCCAAACCGCTACCATTCTGCAAAGTAACGGTTTGGACAGTCCTTGTAACGGTCAGGACAAAATGATTTGCATTTCAAAAGTTATTCATTAATATTTGAAGTATAACAAATTTATAATTTCTTTAAGAGTTAAGATAGTTTAAGCATGGACTTGTACTGTTCAAAGGAGATTTGATGTAGTAGCATAAAAAACACAGTCTCTAGTAACGGTTTGGACAAATAATAGTAACGGTCGGGACATTTCTTTAATAAATTTCAATTTTGAAGAATATGTTCTATGGTGTGATAATAAATTTCTATTTACTTATCTATCTGCTTTTGATAATAAAAACCAAAACAAATTTATCACGTTAAATTTCTATTTTCTATAAGATGTATAGTCTTTATGAATTAAAGGTAACGGTTAGGACAAAATGTAGTAATGGTAAACAACTTAATTGTATTCCAACCTTTAAAGATTGTTTTGATGTAGTCTGTTTTGACTTTGTGAGATATGTAAGACTACCATTTACTTAGAATATTGATAGGTGCTAATATGTTGGCCTTTGTATTTGATAAATATGTGTTACCATCTCACTATCAACAAAAGCTAAAGGTATCCAAGTGAATGAAAGAAGTATATTTCGTGGAGACTAATATTGCACCATAATATCAACAGCAAAATGACATCTATGCAGTGGCCTGTGTAGCATGACCATGTGTACAGTATCATAGTTGTTGCAGTACCTTTCAGAATTGAATCTTTTGCAACATTTTAGAGGGATAACATTTGTTTGTTACACTGATGTCCTGACTGTTACCAATAATGTCACAACCGTTACTATTCATTCAATTTCGTTCTCCAATTGCACTCTTCTTTAGACTATAAGTGATTTTCAGTCTAGACAGGTATGTTTTTCTATTCTTTAGAAGCTACAGTTTGTTTTTACTCAAAAGCCTAAATTCATTCAAAAGTTTTATATTGATATGACAAATGTCCAAACCGTTACCATAGCATGGAAGAAAACATGTCATATTAGTTACGAGTTACAATCTCTAATACACATTTCACTGTCTGTCCAAAATAGGGTTAGCAGTTCAAGTAAATGATATCATTTTTTCCTTTCATGTTACCTGTTTCTATGTTGAATTAAACTGTTTAAGGCTTATGTCCAGCCCGTTACCATTCCTGTCCAAACCGTTACCACTATTGTCCTAACCGTTACTGGTGTTAATTGACTGCTCTAATTAATTCATGATAATACATGAAACACTCCTCTTTATGCTGGTGTCATCAAAAGATGTTCTGGGCTTAGTAGCTGATGTTTATTTTAGACAATTTTACCTGTTGAAAGCTATATACATAATAATGTTTTAGAAAAATGCTATAATTTTGTGGTAAATAAATGAAAGATACAAAATAACACTTTCAAGATTCATGATGATAGTTTTTACCTTCAAGTTTGATTAAGTCTGTGTAAAAGCTGTGTCTGCCATCTTTAAAAGATTTTTATGAATTATATTTCAAAATCCATATTCTGACTAAGAAGTGGTAACGGTCAGGACAGTCCCCCACCCTTTTAATTACATATGTATCAATTAAAAGGTCAATTAGTACATTTCAGTCTGCATGTTTGTATTTTTGAATAATTAAGTGTTTGAGGTTTGATTTGAATAAAAATTAAATAAATTTTGAGGAGTTTGAATTTACTGTAATAAAGAATTGAAAATCCTACCAATTTTGAAAATGACCCATATGCAAAATGACCCGTTCATCAAACTTGGACTTCCCTGAAATTGGCATTTTGTATTTAAATGGCAAAATATCAATCAATACCTTCGGTGTTGCTATACTTTTAATTGCATTTATTTCTGAGTCCCTCATGACATCATGGTAGACGACAATCCATGGATCCAGAAAAACGTCCTCTTCTTTAGCTGGCATCAGAATTAGTAGAGGACTGTTCCGTGTGCGATACCGACAAGCTAACTTGTGTAAATTTTTTATCTCCTGTGAACAGAAAAAGTATATAAGCATCACCCCCCAGTGACCAAACCTAGACACAATGGAACGAAAAACACTGTTCAATGGAAGTGTGTGTTCACAGCGAGTGTTGTAGTTAAGCCCTCTCAGACCAACTTATAACATGTTACGATATGGAATGATACTGTTAAAATACCTACAATGTCTGTTTGATTTCTACAAGAATGACATTGGCAATCTAACATTACAGGGATCACAGGACAAGCAGGGAATCAGTAGCTTGATAAACAAGCATGCCACCACAAAGCACATCTCACATAAACTGGGGTTTTATATGGATTCCTCTACTTGATGATTAGAGATGGATGACTATACTGTACCTTACAATTCTGACTGAGCAAACAGATGATGAATGTCTACTGTATTAACCCCTTACATTTTCTCTCAAAGCACAATAATAATTGCCAATTTCAGCTTTTCTTTTTCAACAAAGGAAATTCATAGCAATCAGATTTTGTATCTATAATACACTACAGGTATGTTTCTTCAGGCAATCAATTTAATAAATTACTACTTTCCTTTTTCGACTGATCATGTTTCAATCCTCCAAAACGATTTTCCCCAAAGGCAAATCGGATCTAAATTAAAAGGAAACCTTCTTACAAAGCCCTTTCTTTGTTGAAGTCAGGTGCAATGATAGTGTTAACGTGACAGTCTTGATCCTACCCACTGATTGGAAGACATAAGCAAGACGCATAAGGTACGGTAGTCCAAGTTGAGACTGACAGGAAGTGGGGTGAGGGGATGCCCAGCAGGTGATACACACACCACCTTATTCTAATGAATGTCTTTATCTGCAGCCACTACAAGGGTTATATTTCAGCCCTGTCATTGTCAATTTCCTGCCTTCTACAATATACACAAGGAACACCAGTCTCTCAGCCTCAAGGTACTGATGCCATTCTTTCTCAGTCTACCTATAGCGAGATAGCAATTTATGTAAGTGTTTTAGATGCCAAGTTTTTTTCAACCTCAATTAGTTTCTTACAGTTCATATGAGTAGATCACTTACAAACTTAATTATTGTTTTCAGGGAAATTGTTCTTGAAACATCTAGATACAGGTGCAAAAGAGTGGGTGAATTAGTCCAACTGCTTAAGGGAAAACTTGAGAGAGTATTAACCAATAGTTGTCACATGAAATTCTGCAGTGAATTCAACTTAGTGTAGCTTATCTTTCTTGAAATACAAAAACAACAATCTTGTGTTTAAAATCAGCAACGTAAGTATTGTTATATTTCTTTGACCTGTATGTTCTGCAAAACAAGTTAATAATTGGGTCTGACCTTATACAGTGTTTGTGACATTTTACATATCAAAAGCAAACAGTAACCTTTAATTCAGATCTCATTGTATAAAGAGTTGTTTGTGAAGGTAGCTAATCAGTGCGAGTATTACTTTTAGCACACTGATTATCAGCTGTGCATAATGACCGCTGTATACATAGGCAAAATGACAGTCATGTATCATTTATCAGCCTTTATACTAGTATATACATCAATGTTCTTTTGTATCTTATTATCTATAATTACACAGATTGCTGTAATATTGTCATTTAAAAAAACATCTTACAAAACCTTTGATTAGAAATCAAACAATGAGAATTTAATATTCTCTTCTTAAGAGCCAAGGTATTCCATGAACGTCTAGACTAGATAAAGTTTACGTTGTAAGCAATTATAGTACACCAACTCTCACAATGTCTTCCACTATCAGGCAAGTCAGAATTTACATGAATTATGAAGATGGTATCCACTGTTTAGAGATACATCAAGTGAGCTATCTAGACCTGCACAGAGAATGATATTCAGCCTGTAATCTGTAGCAAATATCAGCAAATATTTACTAATTCACGTTAATGTAATAACAACCCACAGTGATGGCTTTGTCAACATGTATTTAACTGATGACATGATTAGCACAGAGACTTGAGGGCTTAAATTTACACTCCTGCACAGAGTGTACAATTACAAGTAAATATCACAGCTACATTTACCAGGCAACAAATATGTATGGCATGGTTGCATTTAATACAAGTCCAGTAGGACCCAGTGGATTTCAGCTTCACAAAATCAAAACTACAAATACAACAACTCAAGAAAAAGAAACTGGTATACAGAAACAGAAACTGTCTCCAAGGAAAACCCTACACCAAGCGAAAGGAAGTAGCCATTACCCACATTGTTTTGTAAAGAATATCTAATGAGTATACAAACAACTGCTTTGGTATTGAATTATTTCAAAGAGTGAGTGATATAGTTTTATGCCATTTTTAGCAATATTCCAGCAATATCACGGTGGGGGGACGCCAGAAATGGGCTTCACACATTGTACCCATGCGGGGAATCGAACTCAGGTTTTGGCGTGACGAGTGAATGCTTTAACCCCGAGGCTACCCTACCACCCTATTTCAAAGATATTGTATTTGTTAAGGAACACATTACGACATGGAGAGTTAACAGCTACCGGTATACATGGTACTGCGATCAAGAAAACACTTAAAAAATATTACCTCCCACATGGATTAATTTGAAGAAAAATAAATACATCTTTCTCTTACCACAGTGTAAATTTCCAGTCTCTAGAAATATGTGCAGTGATTTGTCTAGGAAGAACATGCAACTTGATTACATAGTGCTATATATGGTCTACTTGAATATTTACATGTATAATATATGGCCTTCTGGGGAACCATTCATAATTTATGGCTAGGAGAGGTGGAGGTAAGGGTGATGATGATTTTAAGGGCGTTCACTCATTTAGATCTGGGAGGTAGGGGGTGCCATCAGTTTGGTACACATGTACTAGGGGCTTGTCATTGATTTTGTACATGACATGCACAGGGGGGTCACTTACTTTTTTTTGTAGTGGGGGTCATTCACATTGTACATGCTTCTCCATAAACATCATCACCCCATCACCACCTCCACTCCACTAGCCATAAATTAGGAACAGTCCCTAGTTAATACAGCATAATCAATGGCCTTTTAGAAGTGAAATAACTTAGAGCAAGCTGAATAATCTCCAACCCTAATGTCTGGACACTCTCAAGTCATGGATGCTGTCATGCAGGTGAGTCAGACATGACAACTGAGACAGTACTGACGACATTGTCAGTAATCTCCACCCCTAACGTCTGGAAGCTGTCATGTCATGGTTGCTGTCAAGTCATGGACGTTGTCATGCAGGTAAGTGAGACATGGCAACTGAGGGACTGTTACTACACCGCTTATACAGAAATGGGTTGAAGTTTTCAATGTCAACTCCAAAATAGCAAGAGTTCATAAACATTCATTTCCGATCATTGTGTTAATGCTTCTCTGAAGGGAACTCTGTCTCTATTTAGTAGTCTCAGAGCAACTTCCCTCACACTATTAACAAGTCCGCTAAAAATTAATTAATCAACTGGTCTTAAGAATCAGACGTAAAGTGGCTCTTCTCTTGTTCCATATCTTACCATTATTGACTCCCCTCGACACAATGCCTCATAATTCTGGAACTCATGTGACCTGCGGTAATTGTGTTCAACAGGATCCATATCCATGGTGATTCCGTCATCTCCTCGAGCTTGCTCAGTAGCCTCCTTGTCCTTGAGCATCTTCTCATAGTACCGCTTGTTGTTGCTTGCACTCTCGTGGTTCGGTTCTAGTCAACAGTCAGATGAACAATATGTAGTGCAAGTGATCTTTATTTTGTCGAACAAATACAGTCCAACAAAAGTTGGGTCGAGGTTGAAGGGGAAGTAGAAACTTCGGCTAAGTTACCTGAGGCTCAACACAATGACAACAGATGCTTGAAGAAGGAATATGCAGCAACCAAACCTTTTGTTTGAAACAACTGTACATCCAACACATCAAAGTTTGACTCAACAGTAACTATATGTGGAGAAAGCATTCTGAAGTTTGGACCAAACTGCAATTCACACTTAAGCTGATCCACAGCAGAGTAAAGTAGAGCACTTCAAGCTAATATCTGAACAAATTCCTATCATGGCCTGCACCTATATGTGAATCTCCATGTACAGACTTCAAGTACAGAATATGCACTCAGTGTCCTATTACTATCACAGGCTAACCCAATGGGGATCTGGTTATGACGAGTGATCAGTTAGAATGTGGGTGACTGTATCCCTACAATGTGGATGTACTGATTACAATAACTTTCAGTTTGTGTTGTCCAGGGTGCCGTTGTACAAAGCGGTCTTAGCGCTAAGGTGACCGTAACTCCCATACCATAACATAGGCTTAAGGTAGCCTTAGCGATAAGGTTGTTTTGTACAACGGCACCCTGGGCTGTTGTGATACAGGTGGCAGTAGTGTATTACCATGGTTGCTCCATAAACACATCCTTTCATTACATCTGAAACACGTTACATTTAGGTGAGACAAGTGCGAGACTGTATGGACCTAAAACAGGTTAAACACTGTTAAGGCAATATAATGATGATAAGAATATTTATAATGCACCTTTTCCAGGCTAGATATCCTGCTCAAAGCGCGCACAATCTGATCATTATTACCCTGGATAACCCAAGCTGCCTGTTAGGTGCTAGAAGGTTAATAGTCTCACTAATTAGTTCACTGCGTACCCATTTGGTGGGTGAACAGAGGCAATTGTGTACAAACTCACTTGCCTAAGGTGAGACCATATGTATCACATGCTTCGTTGTGGGGCAGAACTGAAGTGCTAGAAACTCTCAGTCAAGCTGTGACACACGATCACCCATCCAAGGACTCTCTGCACCCAACTTTTCTTCACCAGATTTGTGACCTGAGCTGTATGTACAGGAACACACACCACCACAAGTTTTCAATACAAGTTTTCATGCTTACCTAGTGTCAGCAGTTCCTCTGTAAATACCAGTGCTGTCCTGATATTTCCTTTCTGAAAATATCCATTTAAAGACTTCCTTGAATTGCAGGAATGTGATTAACAACAAAGCAATTGAAATATGTTTGTGAAATATGGCATTCAATGTGAAGAACAAATTATAGTTTGTGTAATCTACAGGTGTACCTTATCTGTGACCTAGGGACCTCTCGATATCTCTACACTGGTACCATCTATGCTACTATAAATATTACCAAGCCAGGAAGTAAAGTTGTATGAACAATAACACGGACTAACAGTAAACACTGCACTCAACATGGTCACCTGGCAACACAAACAGGTGGACAGCACTACATGTCAGGGATCCAAGTGGATTCAGAATTGTAGGAGTTTGTTCTGGTATTCATCAAACATGAAATTCACTTAACACATGATATTCACTTATATCAAATTCAAGATAATTAGAACAAAATGGTATATTCAGTCTGGTGCCTATCATTCATTTGTCATTACCTATTCCGGCCACATTTCTGCCTACTCTACTCTACATGTATAAAACTAAGAGTATGCTGTTGACAGATATCTACAAACCACAGGATCTTGGAGAAGGAGTATAGCTTTCCCACAAGCCTATCTCCACCCAGAAACATCTGACTCTACTTTGTACACCACAAAGCCATATCTGACTCCACCCAACACACCACCCAGGCATATCTGACTCCATCTTGCATACCACCCAGGCATATCTGACTCCACCTGACACACCACCCAGGCATATCAGACTCCATCTTGCATACCACCCAGGCATATCTGACTCCACCTGACACACCACCCAGGCATATCAGACTCCATCTTGCACACCACCCAGGCATATCTGACTCCATCTTGCACACCACCCAGGCATATCTGACTCCACCCGACACACCACCCAGGCATATCTGATTCAATCTTACACTCCACAAAGTCATATCTGACTCTATCGTGCACTCCCATCCAGACACATCTGACTCGCCCCAGACACATCTGACTCCACCTCGGACACCACCTAGACACATTTGACTCCACCTTGCACACAACCCAGACACATCTGACTCCAGCTTGCACACCACCCAGGCATATCTGACTCCACTTTGCACACCACCTAGACACATCTGACTCCACCTCGCACACCACCTAGACACATTTGACTCCACGTTGCACACCCTCCAGACACATCTGACTCCAGCTTGCACACCACCCAGGCATATCTGACTCCACCTCGCACACCACCCAGACACATCTGACTCCACCTCGCACACCACCTAGACACATTTGACTCCACCTTGCACACCACCCAGACACATCTGACTCCAGCTTGCACACCACCCAGACACATCTGACTTCATCTTGTACTCCACAAAGCCATATCTCCATCTTGCACTCTCCACCTATGCACAAGAGCCCTTCCAACTTGAGTCTTACCATTGCCAGTGCATAACCCAGGTAATCTAGAATCTCTGTCCGCTCCATTGTTTTATTCACTTCATCTGACTCAATTTTCAGTGCCTGCCACATCCACAGGGCTGTATGGTAAAAGTCCTCGGCGATGTATGCAAATCTTCCCAACTCAAAACACTCAGCAGCTGAGGGTGGGGTCAAAACAGATGGAATCAAAATTCATCCAGTTTCCATAAACATGTCTTGTTAGCAGAGGGGCAAGATGTACATGTTGGTCTGTTACACGGCTAGATGCAATGTGAAGCAGCACCAGTGAGAGGTGGTACCAAGACTTGAAGAGGCAGTCGCATACAAGATTAGGGCAGGAATTCATTCAACATGCTGAAAGAACTCTCATGATATTTGTCTCAGATCTCATGCATGCTGTGTTAATGATGAGTTATTAACATCTTTGTCCCCAACATAGAAAATTGAAGGAGGGCTCAACACCACTGCGAGACCGCTATTACCACTGAGAGAATGATCAGCTGGGTTGCACATCACCATGATCCCTACAAGGATGTTGAGAGAATGATCAGCTGGGTTGCACATCACCATGATCCCTACAAGGATGTTGAGAGAATGATCAGCTGGGTTGCACATCACCATGACCCCTACAAGGATGTTGAGGGGATGGTGAGTTGGGTTTGACATCAATGTGCCTCTTTCTGAGGCAATGACAGGATGGTGGGTTATGTTTGACATCAATGTGTCTCCTTCTGGGACAGTGAGGGGATGGTGGGTTATGTTTGACATCAATGTGTCTCCTTCTGGGACAGTGAGAGATGATGAGTTGGGTTAAAAACCACCATGTTCCCTACTTAAAACATTGAGGGGAGTTATGTTCAAGGATGTTGAATAATTAAGTTGGGCTCAACAAATCCTGTCTCACTCTGGGACTTGAGTTGGGATCAACAAAAGTGTGCCCCGTCTCTGAATCCACTACTTACAAGTTCCCTCAAATGGACAAAAGTTAACAAAATACCAACATCTAAATCCATTGCACCAACAACCTGGAATTATTGCTGGGAAACTTGAATACAGGTAACATTGTGACCATATCATTAGGCACTGCAACTCTAGACCTGTGCATTACTGGGCAGGCCATTATGGAGAATCTTGCATTAGTAGAAGGATTTTTCCATCTCAGGATGTTGGTTTTAGGTTGGTGACAGCTTGAGTTGCTATGACACTAAATCAAGAGATGTGATGAGAGCCTGGAGGTCATGCCGACATGCACAAGGGCAACTGACAGATGTAATCACACATGCAGGGTCAGAGAGTGCAGCAAACTGGGAAACCTTCCAAAAACAGTACCAACTTTATAGAACCCTTCCACAAACTGCTTCCAGTTCATATCCCTGTGGTCAGAGTCCAAGACTGACCAGGAACCAAACAAGAAATGACTCCATATTTGGAGACATATGTTCCAGCCTACACCATGCTAACACATCACCCAGCAAGCAGTAGCTCTGGGTATTCTTCAAATCATGCCCACACACACTTCCTCCCACACAAGAAACATTACAGGTTAGAATGACCTGGTCTATCGCGACATTGCTACTCTGTTTCCCCTGCAGTTACTCACTGAACCAATCTTTTATCTATAAACGTACCCTGTATTCAGAAAAGGCCATGTAGTCAAGCATCTCAGCCCGCAGATCACTTTCATTTTGTTTGTTTTCTTGGGTAGCCAGTTTTTCCAATGCATGCTCCATCCATAAGGATGTATGATAGAAATCTTCGGAGTTATAGGTTAGCTTCCCTAGCTCGAAGCAGTCGATTGCTGCAAGGAAATGGATGCAAAGGCAGACGTGCTGTTAGTGAGGTGCCATTGATACATGGCAAGGTTTAATTCCTAATCCATGCTATGTTAGTATGTGTCATAATGTCGGGCATTCAGGACATGCTGTCATTTTCTAGTAAAATGGAGGAGATTCATCTATTCCAAAGCTGCCATCTTGTTTCAACAGGCTAAAAGTCAAGCACAGTTTCACAAATGAAGAGAGTGCTTGAAAGTTGCTAAGGAAGAACATCACAATTTATGAACATGATACAGCCTCTGCATGCAAAACTATATGAGAAAATATTCGTAACTCATGGAAAGGAGTGAAAATCAACTTTTTAAACTTCACACACGATATAGGTTCTAATAACAAAAATACATTGTAGCCAAGATATTTTTATGGATTAAACTTCTTTTTATTTCCCTCACGATTACAGGTCCCTTCATCAGATGAACTAAATGTTGTGAGGGAAATAAAAAAGAAGTTTAATCCATAAAAATATCTTAGACATCTTTGTACAACTTCTAAATGCCGCTTAAAGACAACAATACATTGTATTTCTAAAATCCACTGTATGAAACCAATTTACCACCATGAAAGCAATTGACCACATATAGATATATAGATATATATCACAACAACTGGGGCTAATTAATTGATCTTCTGAGTGTATGTGTGATGTGTTGGCACCTACCTGTGAGCTGTGTTGACTGCACACCGCCCAGGTCGCCCTGAGCTATTTTGGATGTATCCAGCTTGTATGTGTCCTGTAGCCTCATCAGGGCAGCAGCTGAGCCCTGCAGGTCCTCGTATGTGGGCAGGTCTTGGCGGTAGTAGTCCACATACCTACGCATGGCTGACATCACCAACAGAAAGGAGGTTTTTAATTAAGTAATAGGTACTGGCTGTGTTTACTAAATAACCAAAAAAACATAACGCCAGACCAATTTTATTTCTTGTTTTACAGATTTGTTTCCTCAGAAAACCTAACAGCAGGAGGGAATGCAAAATAAAATATCCCCAGTCATAGTAATATTCCTTTTAAATGCTAACAGTATTTTACTTTTGGCAATTTATGAATTGTATATGGTGCAAAAAAAAAAATCTAAGTTTCTTGTAAGTATATATTTTTGGCCTATAAAAACATTAGGATTTTATTTTTTGAGCAGGGAAATTTATTTTTTCTTATTCTTGAAAAAATACGACCGGCGGATCCGTAAAACAAGAAATAAAATTGGTCTGGCCTAACTTATACTTCTGTGAAACTCTTAAATAAAACTTGGCTGTTGTTCACAACTTTCCTTCAAATCTTTGCTCTTCTTTGCAAATCAATTTTCAATTTAGGCCACTACATACTGTGAGTCTGTTTGCCTGGAAGGTTTCAAGCATGGATGTTTAAATGACAGTAACTTACTCTCTGAGGAATCATTCTTCAGAAGGTGGTCGACAGTCTTTGACCAGTCTAGAGTGAATCGCTTGACAAAGAGGAAGGCATTGACTGGGTTGGCCAGATAGTAGTCAGGCTTCTCCAGCGCCTTGGCACTGTGAGTCTCGAGGTCCTCCGCTAATCTGCAAGACAGAGTTCATATGTATCTCAATATTTCATCCAGTTGTCAAAGTTTTAAATAATGTCAAACTTAAATCCTCCAAGTTCTATGACAAGTGATAGGATGCTCGACTCCTGCTGTGGATACATACAAAGAAATGGTCACCTGACTGTGGAGCACAGTCCTCCGTATGGAGATAAACCAGCGGACACTCTGATCCCCAAAAGTGCTGAGGGATTGGTCTGGGATTGGTGTTTTGTGGTGTTAGGTGGTGTGGGATTTGGGTGGTATCTATGAACTATTGGTCTGATCAATCAGCTAGGACTAGAAGACAAGGATCCTTGGCATTGGATCCTTGCAAACATCCATCAAATATCAAAGTTTTAATTATCAAACATTACTTAAAAATCTGGATGAGATTAATTGAGAGCCTATTAAAGTGATTCATAACTGCAAGCTAAGAGCATATTAAAATGAGCCAATAAAAGTGCCTTTGGCTATTGGCTTTGATGGGTTTATTACCATATAACTGCCAGCTTTCATCCAAATGCCCCCGAGAAACTCTCAATGCACTTGGTGACAACTTTTACGATGGCTGCATCATGTTTTGCCCCAAGCAGGACTGTCTGGGAAATTGTTAGTTGTCACTTGAGTAAGTGCAGACAAATCTACAATAATAACTACTCTCTGGAAAGGGTGAATGATTAGGCCTTTACGCCATTACTAACTATTCAAAACAGTTTCACAGCAGAGTCATCTACCAGGTGATATACACTCAGACATATCATGACAAAGTAGCTGTCCAAACATCATGGGGGCAGTCAGGTAGCCTAGTGGTTAAAGTGTTCACTTGTTACCCCGAAGACCCAGGTTCAATTTCCCCACAAGGGTACAATGTATGAAGACCATTTCTGGTATCCCCAGCTGTGATATTGCTGGAATATTGCTAAAAGCAGCATAAAACTATACTCACTCACTCCAAACACCATACTATGTTTAAGCTAGTAAAAGCTTGAACTTGTCATCTAAATAGACATATATATCAATTGCTTACATTTCTTGCCTTAACTATGGTCATGGAATACAAGCCGGATAAATTGAAGCTTATAACAATTCCCAGCCAAATGAAATAAAGTGCACCATTTTTCATTAACTCGTTTCTATTGAAAGCCAAGAAGAACACCCACACAACTCAAACCAGAACACAAAAGCTTGATTGATGTTACATTGTCTTGAGTTCAATAGGACACTCTATACATTAATGAGATGTGACAAGTTTCTTTTCCTTAGTTCCAGAATGTCAGGTCACCACATCAGTTACAAGCAAGAAGATTAATCAGCCCTCACCTTCATATAAAGGACTACCGGTACCCTGTTTCACAGAACAAACCAGGTTTAAATGTCTGCTATAAGTCTAATCTCCCTGGACTTTACTTGGAATGTTTTAAATGTCTGTGCACAAGCATATACTCAAGCTCATATCCCTTTGGAACAAGTAAGAAAGTAGTTGGTTTCAAAGTATATTTTGAGAACATTCAACTGCATGTCAAATCAGTATCTGAGGAAAAGCTTAAAGGTCACATGCAACCAAAAAATCAAACATAATTAAAACACAATTATCACTTATTCATGATATATAATATACATTGCTGGTTATGAAAAAACATATAAACAAAATTATAAGCGTACAATCGCAAATCAAAAGTGCAATATTGTGTACTTGGGTTTACTTCCCAAGAAACGAAGCAGCCGGGATACCGAACCCAGTCAGAGCGGGTGGGTGTGCACTCAAGTGTAACGGCTGGTACATTTGCAGATGCCCCCACGGCTCATTGTGTGTGTATATATAGAGATGTTGGGTTTTGTAAATACATGCTCATTTTTTGTGTATAACATTTTGCAATCAACAGACATCATAACATGTCATGTGTTCAAGTATCACACCTGCCTGTAACTGCGAGTAATTACATAATGTGACAGAGACCGAACTCGGGCCATAAATCAAGTTGCGTGAACCTATTTCACTGCGCACGTACTATGAACGCAGCCCAGCTGTTGAAACCAGTTTTCCCCCGAAAAGTTGGGAGAAAATTAGTGAATCGTTTGAACTCTGATTTCGTGCGAGTTTTTTCATCGCGTTATTTTTCAACTTTATAAGTTGAATTTGCATTTTTGATGATTTGTTTCGGTAAGTCCATACCGAAAGGTATCAGAATCTGCAAAGTTGTGTTTTACGTTGCATGTGACCTTTAAGTGAAGGTTGGTTGGACAGCAGCATTGGAATATGGAGACTTGTAGGAATTCAGATTTGACTTCAGGTTGATTGCGGACATCTTCATCACAGACGTACAAGTAGCAGTCAGAGGAATGGGGGACTAGGTGTGGCCACTCACTTTTTTAACATCTGATGAAATTTGATTGTAATTGTCATCATAACATGCTGATTTGGTTGTTTTAAGTAAAATGAAAAATGGTCTAGATATAGTCTTTGTCATTTGGGAGGATAGGCTTTTGGGTGATCTTTCTATTCCTTCTTCACACCTCTACTGGCTGAGCGGGTTGAGGTGGCTGACTTCGTGTGCTGTAGATGAGGGTGTGGGTTCGAATCCCAGATGGGACTCAACTCAAAAAGTACTAGAATTTGTACTTTACTACGAAAGTGTAATCCCAAATATAACATATGTTTAACCCTACTGCAGTTATAAATGGCCTTTGTGGACACCCCATCCCATTTATAAGAATCCTGAATCTGCTCTTGAGTACTATAAATTAGGATTTGTTGTTGAGAAACTATCAGGAGTTTTATGCACATGCAAAATTATCGATAACATTCTGATTATGCCATTCCCAAACTGTTCTCACTGAACTGTTCCCACCGAATCTGAACACACGGCCACAGACATGGCTGGCTTCCCTGACACTCTATCACGAAGACATGATTGGGGTCATGGAAACATATTAATCCAGACATAAAGTATATTCATTGTCTTGTCAACACCTAAATAACCCATTGCTTAAACTATAACTAATCAATAATCAATTATATCAGTTGACATCGGATAACACTTCCCATCACTGGAGAACACTTCGGGCAAATTAAGAGGAAATTAATGCTTACAACATGCAGCTAACTATCCCGCGGTATTGATGGACTGTGTGCTGCTTGGACAATGTTATTGTATTAATCACTTCCTGTGGGCTATTATTAAGAAGGGGGTGTCAATTTCACACAAGCTTAACATTCATCACTTGCCCACTCAGGAGATAAACTGCTGCAGTTTGGAAGTAGTTACACAACTAATTTGTGAGAATAAGAGATAATTGACACGCAAACAAGACAGCCTTTGTATGCAAGAAAAATGTATTTATCCAGTTTGTTTGAACATTTGTATACACATTCCTGAATATACAAGACCATACAACACATTGTCAGTATTCTTACCCTTTGGGTAATATTTTGAATAAGTTATATCCTGTTGTGATGAAGGCATTACTTGGATGAATAGTAATTAGCATATTACTGTACAGTAATTGATGCTACTTAACTTAACTCTTACCATGTGATGTATTAACTGAATATACTGAACCGCCAGCCAGATGGGGATAGTCCTCGGCGGACACTCTAACCACTACACACCACGGAGGCGGTCCTGTTGTGAACTGAAGACTATTACTGTACAGTAATTGAAGACTAGTCTCTGGCATCTATAGGCAGTTCTAGCAAGTTGGATAGAAGTCACAAGACTAGTCTCAGGCATCTAGGCAGTTCTAGCAAGTTGGATAGAAGTCACAAGACTAGTCTCAGGCATCTAGGCAGTCCTTGCAAGTTGGATAGAAGTCACAAGACTAGTCTCAGGATAGAAGTCCTTGCAAGTTGGATAGAAGTCAGAAGACTAGTCTCAGGCATCTAGGCAGTCCTTGCAAGTTGGATAGAAGTCACTCCAGTTTCAGGCAAACCTTACTTCATGAAGACTAGTCTCAGGCATCTAGGCAGTCCTTGCAAGTTGGATAGAAGTCACTCCACTTTGTAAATCCTTAAAACCTTACGAAGTAAATCCATTAAGCTGTGTCTGTCATAGGACCAATGGACACACATATATGTTCTACTTCTAGACTGTAATTTTGAGTGAGGAGTTGCTGAACCATAAGGCAAAACCACACATATAATTCCACAACTACCCATTACAATCATATACTGCCTGTACAATTTTCCATTTGTTATTCCCAGCAAACAAGCAGGTTTGTTTTGTGAAACAATAATGGCTATGTTTTGATTCCACTTGCCTCGAAGGAAGATATACTATCGAGTTGGCAGTTCGCACACATGATGATTTATTTTCTACAATAATAAATTTACAAAAGAGAAGTAACTAATAATAGTAGCAGCTATTCTGTTATTGTTCTGATAATGGGTGAATATTTCTAGTATTGAGCAGCATTTGTGAGTACAATGTATGACAGTGTAATAACGTACATCTATGAACATGTTGGAGACAATTAACTGGTGCTATCAACAATCTCTGTTGTACAAAAATGTCCAGCTGATAGTGCATGTGTTACACATTTAATAGGCATCACTTCATGTTTTACTCCAAAATAACAATGCAAAAGTTGAAATCATAACTGTAGTCAAGAAAGGGTTCTGACATTATGATTAACATGTTACATCTGTCAGTAACATGAAGTAACAGGGTACCATAAATCCTTAAATAAGTTCTGTCATGGGTAAAGTCCTATCACACAAGTACTGTCACGGGTAAAGTCCTAGCACACAAGTACTGTCATGGGTAAAGACCTAGCACACAAGTACTGTCATGGGCAAATACCAAGCACACAAGTACTGTCATGGGTAAAGACCTAGCACACAAACACTGTCATGGGTAAAGACCTAGCACATAAGTACTGTCATGGGTAAAGACCTAGCACACTGTCATGGGTAAAGACCTAGCACACAAGTACTGTCATGGGTAAAGACCTAGCACACAAATACTGTCATGGGTAAAGTCCTAGCACACAAGTACT